TTTAGTTGATTCATGTATTGAGTCTGTTGTTTTCTTGTTTTCCTTTGGAGGAGGCAGTTCTGATGTACTTAAGGCTTTAGCAGTTCCCTCTCAATGAAACAGGAGATAGCATAAAAACCAAGGTTTTCTTTATCATGAGCAATAAGAGACATTCCTCTTGAAACCCAGGTAATACATCTGGAAAGATCTGTCTGTTCTCAGAGCACTTGAGTAATTTTTCACAACTCAAGGGAAGGTGTAAGTTGGTCTGTTAGTAAATAAATAGGAGGTTTGAAACAGGGCAGATCGGGGAAGACTCATTTGCAGTATCTGAAGATGCTCCCTGTGTCTCACTTTTTTTTTTTTTTTCCCCCCCAGGCCCAGAGGCACAACGGGACAAAGCCATGACGGGCGAACAAATTGAGTCCTTTGCGAACAGGCTGGGGGAGCAGTGGAAGGCCTTGGCCCCCTACTTGGAAATGAAGGATTCCGATATACGGCAGATCGAGTCGGACAGCGAGGACATGAGGATGAGAGCCAAGCAGCTGCTGGTTGCCTGGCAGGATCAGGAGGGCGCACATGCCACCCCGGAGAACTTGATCACTGCGCTGAACAAAGCCGGGTTAAGTGACCTCGCGGAAAGCCTGACCAACGACACCGAAAGCAGCAGCTAACTCCCTGCAGATGCTAACTGGGTTTGGCGGTGGTGGTTCTTAATGGTGACCCTTCTGGTGGCTGTCGTTAACTGTGACTGCTTTGTTTGTTGTTGTTAATTGTTGTTGCTAGGTAACTGATTTTTGATAGGTATTTTATGTTCAATAAACGATAAAACTTTTTAATAATATTTTTCAGCTGTCCCCATTTTCTGAAAAGGATTAGTTGTCCCAGTGCAGAAATAGGAGGCTTCATCTTGGATGGTGGAAAGGTAAAAGTGAGGACGGAGAGTCGAGTCGGGTGGGAGGGTTTGGCCGCAGCTGCTCCTGTTGGGCAGAGCAGGCGGCCGCCTGTACGCACCCGCTGGCTCCGCTGCTTCCCCAGCGCGTGGGGAGCTGTGCGGGGCTTCCAGGTGTCCCCTGGGGTGGCGGGGGGCTGCGGGCTGCCGAAACGGACCTGGCGGTGAGTGATGCAGCTTTGTGAAACTGCTGGGGCCGTGGTGGAGAGCCGAGTCGCAGACCTCGCTTCCAGTGGAGCGGTGTGCTGGGAGGGGAGCTGTGGCCAGTCTGCTCCCTGCTCAAGAACTGGGTTTTCTCTGGCCCTTGTCAGTCGGTAACTGGGGGGGTGAGAGTTTCCATGCTTGTTTTTATTAGTAATGATTAACTTTAGTCTCTGCATGTTTGGTTATGTAGGAATTCCCCTGGGTCATGATAACTTTTTTTTTTTGTCCCAGTTCACTGTAAAGCAACAGTTGGTTTCATTTTAAGGATTTTAAGGCTATGGCTGGCTGTCGCTGGGTACAAGCTGTTGCATGTAGCTGGATCTGATTTCCCTCAAGTGCGAGATTGTTGTGATGGTGTAGCAACCTACAGCTTCTTCTGTGGGTATTTCTTGTGGAATGTGTAATTCAGTGAAATCTAATTGCGAACTGTTATGAAAACTCTGTATCACAGACCTTCCCCCTGCAGAATGTTGTTTCAGTTATGGCATCTGCCTGTGGCCTCCAGGGTGGTTTGCTGCTGGCCGGGAGGCAAGTTCCTGCCTGCAGAGCCTGGGGCCTGCTCCCCGCTGGGGATTTACCTGCGGTATCGGGTGCTTCAGCCATCTGTGGGGCAGGTGCTGGAAACACTACAGCCTCACTCTCGCCTCCTGCTGCAGGTACCATTTGGTAGAAGGTGGGAAATGTAACGATTTCAATTAAGGGACTTGAGCAGCCTGTGACCGGAGGCGTGTGGGCAGGACTGGCAGCTCCTGAGGGCAGCCTGTCTGCCGGGGATGAGGGCGGCCACAGGAAGGCGACTGAGGGGAGCCACGGCCGCTGAGCTCTGTTCTTGCTGCTTCAGGCATGAACCATAATCTCAGTGCTCGTGTTCATGGCAAGAGCCTCGGGCAGGGAGCTGCCCCACCCCGGCTTTAGCTGTGATCCCTTTCTTGGGCCCAGCAGCACTGCACTCTTGTGTCAATTCATGGGTGCAGAGCTGCTATTTATTTTTTTCCTGACATCATCTGACAAGTATGACCTCATCAAAATGTGACAGCACTGCTCTGGCCCTGCAACGAGCTCGACGTTAGAGCCCCCTGGGCTGACTGTGAGGATCCCCATCACCTACCCAAGGCCCAACTGAAGGGTTTGACAGACCTAGAAAGGCCGCCACTAGCAGGGGAGAGGGCTGGCTTGTAGGCCCCTGCAGCACCTGCTGCTGCTTCAAGGGGTTTGCAGTGTCCCAGCTGTTAATTATTAAGCATATCTTGTCCCAGCAAGACAACTTGCAGTACAGTTGTCAGATGCAATAAATGCACCTGTCTCAAAATTAGGAAAAAGCAACAGAATAAATGAGTCAGAATACTTTCTGGGAAGGAAAAAGTTCACCTTTTAACAGTTGGGCTGTGACCAATAATAAAAGATTAATTCTTTTCTAGGTGTAGGGTCATGTAGCTGTTCACAGCAGAAGGCTCTCTTCAACTGCTGCCAGCAGCTCTAAGAGAAGAAATACTGATCACAGGCCCACACCTGGGAGGATGGAGTTCCACAAAGCAGCAACCAGGCCCAGGCCCTGCCTGTGTCTCCCCCCAACAAACAGGAGGCAGAAGGAGCTTTTAAAAACAGGGGAGCATGTGCTATTTCTGTGGGGTACACTGTTAGGCCTCTGGGAAGGTGTGTGCTGAAGGAGGCAGGGCAGCCACCATCACTGCAGGGTCAGAGGCAGAAAAACTACCTGGGAGGTCACAGCTGAAGCCAGTGTTGCTGTGGGAGGGTGAGAGAGGGGCCTCTGCTGAGCGAGGGGGGCACAGTTAAACTCACCACACAGTCCCTGTTAATGAAGATTCACTGGAAGCAATTTCATTTGAGTAGGGACTACCTCTCCCAGAAGGGACTGGGACATGTTAAAAATCACATCCTCTACACCACTGTTGAGATCTGTGGATCATCGAGTGCTTTTCTGGCTGTAGCCAACACTGAAATATTTTTTTTCCTGCAGCCTCCCACTAGCATACAGCTGCTGTACTCCTGTGGGGAAGGAACAGAAGTTACTGTAAGAAAGCAAAGCCCCGTTCTGCAGCTCCCATGCTAGACTTACCTACCGCCGGGAGAGAAATCCTTTATTGCATGACTGCTTGGAGAGATGCAGCAGTGGTGGCCCAAGAAGTAAAATCAAACACATACTAACTGCTACCAAGACATGAATTTTTTTTAATGGAGACACATTGTTGATCACAATTTATTCTGAAGTCATGAGATGCCAACAACAGAACAGACTGATTCAGCAGGTCAGGCTGGACAAATACTTGACTGTAGCCACAGTTGTTGGCCATGGGCAGCAGCACTGAGTTACGCAACAAGGCAAGTGTTTCTCTTCTACCTTCCTAACACAGCTGCCAGGTAAGGCGAAGGATGGACAGCTACTGAACTGTGGTACAAACCATGCAAGAGTAACAAATGTGAGAATAGGTGTGCAATAAATACTTGATGATATTGGGGGGGTGGGGAGGGAAGAGGCTCATTTAAAAAAAATTATCTTCTGCAAGACATTAAAGCTATTTTAAGTATTGTCACCACCACCGTGGGCAGTCCAGTCCAGCAGTGACTAATTGGTACATGGATCAGTTTTAAAACAATATCCCTCTTCACATGAAAAGGTCTGAAGAAATTATTTATCCACTTGCTAAAGCTCTGGGGTTAAAGAAGTGATCAGTAATCAACATTTATTTCACACCTAGGCAGAATGACTAAAACTGAATACTACTGTTCAGCTTCATCTTCAATTACTTCAATTCTGCGAGGCCCGTAGAGTAGAACATAGGCTATATGCCAGTCTCCACCCCCTGATAACCTCAAAATATCTTCAGGTGTAACAATGCTGACTTTGTCATCATCAAATTTAATCCATTCATCTGAAAAGACAAGAGGATTATTTGTAATTCAGGCACACAAAATCTATTAAAGGGACTGTTAAGCACATTTGAGAGATGTTGTGAAGGGTGGTAATTTTCTTTTTACCTTGTTTCCTTTTAACCCAAGACACATAATGCCCAGAGGAACTTGATCTGCCTTGATGTGTTAGCACTGCCTGCAGGTCATAATAGCCACAATTATTAGAACCAATATCTGAAAGAAGAGGGGGGAAAAAAAAAAAAAAGGTTAGGCAAGTCTTATATGAACACTTTCAGCATTTTCAACAGCATGCAGACCAGCGCCACCAGCCCCACTGCAGCACTACAGCCATGTCAAAACCCCTTTACAGCCCGGTTCTAAATCACTGTGAGCTAAAAGCAGCGGCTTTCAGTGAGGATAGCCCCTCAGGAACCTGAGAATGCTGCCTGTTTTCCTGACATAAACACGTATCCCGGGGATGTAACACAACTGCAGTAAGCTCAAAGCATTAACACCACGACACAGGGTCAGCAAACCTTCGGGAGAGGTTTGGCTACTGCTGCCTTCCCCCCAGCAGCTGGTGCCAGCCCTGGCGCCGCAGGGGCGGGCGTGTGAGCGTGGGCTGCACAGCCCTGCAGCCCGGAACACTGGGGTACAGCACAGCAGCCCCTCTGCTGCTCGGTCAGTTGCACTGGTCTGTTTTTCAGTGGAAAAACCTGGCTCATTCTGAACGCACCAAGAAGGGTGTTAAAGTCCCCATCACATCTGTAACTGCATTCCTGGGGCCTCCAGACTATCCTGTTGTCACTGTGCTCTGGAGGCAGCCGGTGCCCTTCCTGCTCAGGAAGCACCAAGTGGGAACAATTTGGGTAAACGAGACCTCCAAAATAATTTCTGCACAGTGTCCTCAACATGAGGGTGAATGCTTAGGGCATTTAAGCTCCAAAGCCCCCCCCCCCCCCCCCCCCCCCCCCCAGTTTAGGCAACAGCGGTTTTAAAAGTCAAATTTAAGTTTTTGTTTTGATTTCAGTGTTCTACCACACACTGACAAGGAAGCATACAAACCAACTGCACGTTACATGCAAATGCCTTTTGATGCACATGTCTTCTGTGCATCATCAACTTGTCAGATGGATAACAGGTATGTCTGTGACTATCTCAAAAGCACTTTGGCTTGCCTAATCTTTCCATTCCTTAAATTTCTGTCACCTTCTAAAGATTAATCTTCAAAGCCATTCAAAATAACCAGGGTTCTCAGAATATTCCTACCATCAGGTCCACTTAAAGATGAGTAAATGTAAAGTTACTTTAAAATACATTTACTTCCCTGTACTCACCATCAGGAAAAGAAAATGGTTCATATTTAACTTCTTTCTGTGCACCATCACTTTTACTAGACTAAAGAACAGAATACGCTGAATTAATGTGGAATGATTTTGAAACAGCTTTAGCACAATTATATCAAATACCAACTCTCCATTCATTTAAAGATGCTCCTAAGCCTAAACATTTTTTGTTCAACTCGAAAGATGTTCCATTACCATATTTCTAGCTGGACATGTGAAAGCCTAATCTAAACAAGACCACTTTTTAAAGCAAGTGTATAACCATTTTAGCACATAATGACTAGACTGCTTACCCACCAGATTTACAGGTTTGGAGCACAAAACCAATTCTGCACTTGAAGATTTTATTCCTTGTTAGGGACTTGCTAGCAGCAGAAGTGGTAGCAAGAAAATACCAGAGACAGAGTCTACATTCTGATTTAAAATAGCACTCTCTCCTTGCTCCTAACTGTGTAAAAAAAGATGTAAGCCTTATTCAGATGTTTAAATGATACTGCCAGGAGTTAGGCCAAGAAAGAGTAGCAAACTTTAAAAAAACTGAATAAACCACTACTGGTTTAGCTCATTTACCTTTTTTCTTCATTAAAGAAAGGCAAGTCAATTGTAAAATATGTAGACAGGGCAGAAGATAAAACCATTTACAAATTTTCAGAGTACAGTCTTTTAGCTCTAATACCTATATTCTAAATACATGTATTATATCTAAATACTAATACATATATTCTAAATTTTATCAGTCAGTCACATAGAACTCCCTTGTACAACCCCTTCCAGCTGGTGAGCAGGCAACAGCTCCCTGTGCTCCACTGAAGAAGTGACCTGCCAGCAAGCAGTAATGTCTGAAGAGAATAATTTTGTGCAATTCACAGAAAACCTTTAGGCATAACGCTGGTAAGCAGAAGCACTACATTTTAATATATTTTGAAATAAAAATGTAAGCAACATGTTTGTGTACTGCATTTAACATTTCTCATCAAGCAGTCGTACCAAACCAGATATTGTATTTTCATGAAAATACACAAAAAAGATCTAAAGCTCAAGGAGTTTCAATGCTACATAAGAAAACAATATATTTAAGGAACTCAAGTTGTCTCTAGTCTTTATGGGAACCCCAATTTCAGATATATGACTTATTTAATCAAAGCATCCATGAAGTTGCCAGAAGACTTACATTCTTTGGCTGCTGATTTACTTTTTTGTCTTCTAGATCTTTGAATTTTGATCGATAAGAAACCATTTTTTCCTGAAGGTCTGGTGTACACAGCTCATACACATCCAACATAAGAGGAAATTTAACATCCTAGGAAGTAAAAAGCATGGAGGTTGTTAGCATAATTTGGTACTCCACATTAAAGCATTCTCCCACAGGAAGACAACACTAAGTCCAATTAAATGCAACTCGTATCATGTTTATGTACTGAAATGTTGCTGACAGTACTTACGTAACGGGCTACAAAAGTTTCACAGAAGAACGTCTGATTCAGTATAAGCAAACAATCATAAATTACCATATTCTGTATAAATATTTAGATTCCTCACTATTAGCTGTCATACTATGGGAATACCTATGCAGGCCTAAGGAAAAAACACATGTAGAATGGCTGTAGACTTGCAAAAATGTCAATTTGTGTTATCCAAACAATCTTCTAAAATAGTTAACGTGTGCCTTCAATCTCTATTCCCTTGCTTCTCTTGTAACTAACAGGCATTGTCTATCACAGTGCTCTCTGGACAGCTCAGGAGATCTACCAGCCAAGGCCAACAGAAAGCAGAACCAGAACATTTAGCTGTTTGCAGCTGGTTCTTGGGTTTGTAAATCAGAAAGCCAGACAATTGAAATAACTAATATAGGAAGTGTTTGTTAGCATAAACATTTCCCATTAACTTTACAATACTGTCCAGTGACTGAAAGCATGGTCCTCTCCTTAACTAAACATTTTCCTTAACCACTGGTGAAGAGAGACAAGAAACATCCTAACAGTATTGGAGCAAATTCACTTCTGTCCCTCACCTCCTCCCCCGGTCTATTTTGGTAGTATATTTTGCCACACAGCATCACAACTGGGAACAAAGCTGCTTTGTACTTAAGCAAAGGAACTGCACTGATAATATTTTAAAATGCAATTTAAAAGCAAACAATTAAGTAAATAGCTTTCAAGTATTAGTTATCTCCTATAATAAAAACTGAATGAAAAGCATAAAGAGGAATTAAACTTCCATATGCAGAAAACTTACCTTGAGAACTTTGGCATTCACAGATTCTTTCTCTTTGTAAAAAAATCTAACCATCTGAATAGTCAGGTACGCTGGCAAGCGACTAATTTTAGACTATAAAAAAAAAATTCAGAAACAGCTATTACTTTAGATATTCACAGATCTTTTGTACCTTAAACACTGCTCATCCTAAATTACAGGCTATTCTGGGAACATATTTGTACACAAACACATAGGAATATAATGCAGCCTCCAATTTTGAAGCTCTGTATAGTAGTGTACTCATATAATTTTCAACTGGTCTTAAATTTCTTGGTAGTGGAAATCCAGATGCTTTATAAATATAAATCACATGCTGTTGCAGCAAGTGTTTGGGACAGAAAATTGACAAGTTAAAAGAATCATAAAGAGAGCAACCAAGGTACCACTCACAGATTTGATATAGAGTGCATTTCTCTGCAGTGTTGGCGAGAGTTTGGTGATTTCCTCCTGAAGACGCTGTCAAAAAAAAAAAAAAAAGGTATTAACACCACATTTAGCATAAAACACAGCTTAAAGAAAAGCACAGCATGGATAAACAAACCACAAACTAAATCTTGTTCTGCCAATCTCTTCTATTGCTATCAGCCATTATGACACACAGAATTTTGAAAGTCCTTGGCAGGAAGACCATGCCCATTCATTTGTTCAGCTCCAGGCTCATTCCTGAGCCCTGACAACACAAAGTTTCCCTCTGCAGAAAGTTTAGTTCTACAGGAGTAGAACTTGCAACTGGATTTGGTTACGGATGTGTCATGTCATGCTTGGAACACAACTAAAGAAAATCTGAAGTTTCTTATGACAGGAATATCTGCACGTTTCTCAACTCAGTGTAAAGCAGACAGAGCTGCATGGAAGGAGACAGCTCAGGTGGTGGAACTCTGCTTCCAGGGGCCTTTCCAAATCCCCTGAACTGGCCTGGCTGTTGTGTTGGGACTCTCCTGCTATAGGCAATCCAGCATAAGAATTTTAGAAGACCTTTTCGGGCCTGAAATAGAGGTTTCCTCCTTTCATAATCTTTTTAATTTATGAGCATTAACTATTTTATCTTACATTTCCTTCTAAATTCTGACAAAAATAAAAGAAGGTACAAAGATTATCTGAGAACCATGCAACTTGGTTCAGTCCTATACAAACCAGACCACTGCTTCTGTACCTGCTCTTATACAAATACTCTGCAAGAGCAGTTACTACACAAAGGTTTTGTAGTAGCTCCTCTCCTTGCTCCTTCAGATTCTCCAACAACCCCTGAAACTTAGAAACATATATATATATATATATATATATATACATATATATATATACACATATATAAAGCACAGACTACTTTAAGAAGTTCTACTTAGGTAAACGGTTTTAAAGATGATGTTGTGTCATGGAAAATAACACTCCCTTCAAAATCTGCAAAATGAAATTTAATTGTTCCATCATCTCTTTTTTTTTCTTAGCAACCAAAATGTCACCCTAGTTTCAAATTGACTTTTGGACTCTTTGGGAACCATTTACAGCATGCTTAAATCATGATACTGCTCAGTCTGAAGTGAAAACCAACTGACCAAACAAGTTGCATGGGGAAGACCATGTCAAGGTCCAGAAAACACTTTGCTGAAGTCTGCTTTACATTAAGATGTAATTAATTTCATTGCCATCTTCCTATTGAGCACACAAAAAAAATAATCTTGGTACTTTGTAAAGCTTGGACAGCAGATGTCAATTCCATGTCACAGATTAAAAACAGAGGTTATTTAGAATTTCAATTAAATAGAGGTTGTAATGGCTTACCAATTTTAGTCCTGTAAACAGATATTTCACTTCTTGATTGATGAAGCAGCTGAGCTGAAGCAGATTCTCCTTTCCTTTAGTTACTTCCTCTTCTTCAGCTTCTGTACATTTCATGCTTCACAAAATTAAGGAAAACCATCATGCAACAAGAGCTGAACTACCGCTCTAGTCAAACCACGCTGAACAGCACGGTAATTTAACAGAATCCTGTGCTTGTGCTTTCTACTTCTCATAGTACAAAAAAGATTTGAATCAGCCCTTCCTTCTAACCAACCTGTTCTTTCGTGTCTAATGACAAGTGGTAGCTGAGGCAGACAGCATACCAAAAAAAGTAAAATAAATTTTCAGTCACCATTTAAGCTTGTGAGGCCTGCTTTGTTCTTTCTTCCCCAACCCCCTTCCCAACTCCCAGGACACCAATCATACTGACTGGCTGCCAATACCAAGTTATGAAGCCCTCCTGCAATATTAAGCTCCATTGTTGTTTACAATTAATAAAAGATTTTCCATTCCTGCTGCTGACCAGACTTCCCATTTCTTTCGACATGCACAACCTCCTTTCCCTGCCCTGTATCGGTCCTCTTCACTGAAATGAAGTTCATTTCTTCATTTTCTACAGTCTTCTGATGGTTCAGTCCAACATCATCTTTTTCATATTTCTACCTCAAGCCTTTTCTCTCATCCACTTCCTTCTGAATAGGCATTTTCCTGACTGCTCTGAATGCATCTATTCTACAAATGCTGCCATAATCACACTTTGAAGGCTTGCAACATGATTTTTCTACCAAGGCTCTTCTTCCTGCCGTTGGCCTATGCATCATTCCTCGCAGCTACACATTCTGCTCCTCCCAGCTATTTCAGGGATAACAAACACCACGATACCGGGAGATACAGATACATGACTCTTACCTTATAAAAGACCTTTACTCTTCATTACTACCAAGCTATACAACACAGTACCTCATCTAAGGGGATATTTCCTTATTTCAGATGAGCAAAAAGCACAGCGTAATACTTTCTAAAAGTGGTGGACAGTTTCATGACAGCCAATATTTTGGGGTGGAGAGGTGGGAAAAGAGCGATACTTGGCATGAGATGTGTGCCCCATATGGTCACATGCTTTTTGTTCTTGCTATAAAAAAGCTACTAGCAAGTTGTCAGCTGCATTAGTTTCTTACTCATCTAACAGTGTGCATCGAACTTATTTCTTAAGAAATCAATTGAGCTATCTTTTCTGCATGTTTAGTATGCCAAGTATATCAGCAACACTCCCCTACAAGCCAAATAAAGGCTATTTAGGTGGATAATTACTTTTATTTGGATAAAACATGTCAGCACCCTTGAAGCAGATAACTGGCAAACCTCTCTGGGGAGGAAATCTGGTATTCAAATTCAGTGTCTTTTTTATATAAATTCACATTACTGTTCTTCCTCCCCACAACATCCTCTCTCACAAAATATATCCAATCTTAACTTTAACTTCAGTGTACTCCTGCAACACATCACTCTCTCTCTTCCCCAACACACACTTGTATTTTCTATACTATTCTGAACAATGCTTTCCATCCTCTCTGCATTCAATTGCTGAAGTGTGAAATTATTATAATTCTTTCTATCTTGCCTTAGTCTTTAGGATACGCTGTTTCAAATTCAATGCTGAAGAACTGATCAATTAAACTCTTCTTTTTAGAAGATGCTGCTGTAGCTCCAGAGTCTGTCTGTAAAACAAATTCTCTTATGATATAACTTTAAATATCAAGTAAAGACAGTTGTCTTTGCAGACAAAATAACCCCATTTACTTCAATTCTTTAAAGCCTATTCCTTCACCTTTCTATACGTGTATTTTCTCCTAGTCAATCTCCTTACACAGTATAAAAGTTTCAAAACAAATGCATTTATAGCATGCTGTTAAAGCCACATCAAAGCATATTAGCAAGCAAGATTTCAATCGAAAAGTCAAACCTCCCTGCCTCCCAACTTTAATCTCTCTTAAGAGTAGTCTATCAGATTTTTGCCACTGCCAAGACTCTCCAGAAAATGTTTTA